CAAAAGCTCAAACAGTCAATGTACATGCCCCTACTAAGTGTGTAGGGTATCAGCGAATTAAGTTAAAATGCCTAACTGTGCAAGACTTAACTTAAGACTTAACTTCACATATACAGTAGGGTTAAAAAGGTGAGTCTGCTCTATTATCTTAAATAATACTGAATGTACTTGGAGGAGAGCACTAACTTCCCTGTACTATATACGTATGAGCTTACGAACAAACATGACTGGGGAAGGAGAGAGAGGCCAATTATGCTCTATAGGACAGTTACGGATGTCCATAGCACCACTGGGATCCAAACACGTGAATTCTGGGAAAGCTATAATAATTATACAATTATATTTCTCAAATTGAAGACTTAGATTATTCTTTATTAATACAAATTCAAGACGTTTTCTGTTTCGACTGGGACTTGGCTCAGACTTATTAGTATTTGTACTGGGACTTGTCTCTGTCTCTGGCATTGGTCTCACTAAATAATGCCTTGGTCTCGAACAAGAGTTTGATAATATAATAATGTTTGAGTTGTTTTTTAGTGACAACCCAATTATATGTCTACATCTATTGTCCAGAATGATTCTTCAGGATTCTAGGTAATTCTCAAGAGAACTTGTCTGCTATAAGTAAAAGCTTGGCCTCGAAAAGGGTTTGATGGTTTTTCGGTCTTGATCTTGATTCGTCTGGTCTTGATCTGGCCTTACTTTCAATTGGACTCGATCTTGACTTGGTCTCGACCCCTTTAAGACTCGTCTAGTCCCGGTCTTGGCTACAGTCCTGCTACGTTCACCCAAGCAAGCGATAAAGCGACAGGCAATCATTCATTTTTTTATGCGTGACATGGAGCCACAATTTCAGCGACAGCAGCAAGCAACAAAGCGGCAGTGCAACAAGCGATATCTGAATTGAGATTTTCTCAGTTCTATGCAAATTAGGAAAAGCGACAAGCCAAATGGTCAGCTGAAATGACTCCTAGGACCAATCCGATGGCACGTGTGGTCCTACATTTCTTCAGTTCCCCACGCATCACTTCAGTTCCTACCTGCAGTTAGTTCACATTTACTGTTTGATGCAAAAAAAAATTATATATAACTGTGGTTTCATCTTATCCTGTCATATACAATTTCTCATCAAATATATATAGAGATATTATGTTAGAAGAAAGTAAGAGAGATCGTTGTTGCCTCCAGTGAGTCTACGTAGCGCTTACAGTTAGCCTGCTTTGTGAATCTGCCAACAAAGCTAGTACAAAGCCTAGCATGTAACATTTAAATCAAATTTATTTTTACTATATAAAAATAAATTGTATATGCTTTTTTACTTTTTTTTATACAACTTAAAATTGTATATACTTTTATATATACAAAAGTAGTGTGTGTATATCGTATAGTATGCTGTAGGCTATAAATTACAGCTACGATCATTTCTCATTAGAGACCCATAAGAGACAGACTATAAGCGTCACGAGCGGCACCTGCTAGTGTGAACGTAGAGTAACTTATAACAGGCTGTTCTCACTGAGGCATACTCACGTGTTAGATGCTGAAACACCACAACAATAATCCAATAAGTGCAAATGTGTGGCAGGACAACAATTTTTTAATTGTTAATCTATGGCTAAGGCTGGCATAGCCATTCAGGTTTAGATGGTTTAGCCATTCAGGTTTAGATTATTATTGAATTATAATGATCCACCGAATAAAAGGTTTATTTAATGATTCATCTTTAGCAAAGCTTTATCCTGGTCAGGGTCGCAGTGGATCCGGGGCCTGTGCCGGGGCATGCAGTACACCCGGAATGGGATGCCAGTCCATCACATGAATAAATGATGAAATAAAGAGTGAGGAGCAGACTCAGGCTTTTGGACCGTTCTGTATACCAGCTGAATAAATCCAAATCGACTTTTTCAAAAGAGACTGTAGCTAAGATAGTACGTGAAGCTTAAGCTATGTTCGGTGTACCTGAATGCACATAACCACAGGACGTTTCAGACCACACATTTCATTCTGCTGTCAATGATCAGGCTGCATTCTGACTTGAGACTTGGAGTTACAACACAAGGGATAACGGCTTTGGAAACGAAAACCTCCGCGTGTGAATCTCAAGTGAGAATCCGTCCTATGTTGAGCAGATGCTGGCATCCACATGAGACAGTCAGGGGAAACAGATCAGGTGGGCACGACATTTGATCTGGTTCATTTTTGGTACAACAATGTGGAGAAGGAAGCAAAGCAAGCCTGGAGGCGAGTCCACACAGCGGACACGAGCATGCGCTTTTTTTTTCCCCTCTGGGGGTGTAAGGAGGGTGTGTACTTACCGACATCGCAGCATGATCATTGGTGTTATTCTGAGCAGAACCCCCAACAAAATAAAAAAAACACAGACAGGGAAAGAAAGTATGGCAACAATAAATGGACAGATAAAGAAAAGTCTGATAACCAAGCATGCCTGGTAGAAAGAAATACAAGGCTACAGTCACTTGGAGGAGAGAGAGGACATTCCTGGAAAAAAACAAAACAAAACAAAAAGCAGCGGAGATCAAACAAGAGACAAAGTAAGATTTTTCAGAGCAAGGGCGAGCTGGAGAGTAAAGCAGGCAAGCACTACGTATTTAAAAACAGAAATTTACCTGTATCTGATGTTCAGGTTCATGGTTACATCATTTAAAAATATATGAAAGTCTTTAAATGTGTGGATGATTTGGTTCTAAATAACCAGGAATGCTAAAAAGTGTTCTGTTTAGTACTAGTAAGCATCAATGTCCAATATGAGCTGCTAATGTAATCCACTGCATGACATATTATAAAGTAAAAAATTAATATTCTTCTATTCTCTTGTACTCTATGTGTCTTTGTTGGGATTTCTAAAAGGTCCTTCTGTCCCCATAAAATGACAGACGCACAGTAAAAGAAACAGATACGCCAACACGACGTGCTACAGGACCAACACACACAGAAATCAGTCAGCTCAACAAACATTTAAAACCACAACCGAAACACACACAGCACCGTTTAAATGAGAACAACACCATGACGAGGCTGTGCGTGCTAGCGAGGCTCACCGGCAGGTGTGTGAAGACCTGGAAGGTGCTGCGCAGGAAGTTGATGAGGTCCATGAGGTAGCCGCTGGCCCTGCCGTCCGACTCGGCCATGCTCCACTCGTAGTCAGCCAGCTGGATGAACTCGTCGATCTTCTGGTTGAGCTTGGTGTAGATCTCGCCTTCTGCTGCGTGCCTGGCATCCTAAAGACAAAGGAACCGTTTCACGAATGTTCGTTTGTTGTCCTATAATCCCATAAAACACTTGGTTTAAGATATACTGTGCAAAAGTCTTAGGCACATGCAAAGAAATGCTGTAGAGCAAAGATGCCTTCAACAATAATTGAATTAAATGTTTCTACATTAAAGAAATACTACAAAGAGCAGTAAACAGTAATAAATGAAACTATATAATGAACTATAAAATGAAAAGTCTATATTTGGTGTGACGATCCTTCGCTTTTAAAAAAAATAGTAGTCTCAGGTACAATTTGTGCAGTTTTATAAGGAAATTAGGAAATTAGTTTTTATAAGGAAATTTTACTCAGCATCTTGCAGAAGCAGCCACAGTTCTTCTTTAGACTTCGACTGTTGCACTTGCTTCTTATTTCTGCAGCGAAACCCAGCAGCCTTCATTATATTTTTTGTCTGAAAAGTGGTCTCTTGTGTAACATGCTGCTTTCTTTACTGACTTTTTCTGTAGCATTTAATTTGTGCTGGAAAACTAATGTTTGGAAATCTACAATGTTTTTGTACTGAATCAGTAATGTAGAAGTCATAAAATAATAATCTATAACAAAGTTTGTACTAAAAGAAAAAAATAGGATGCCTAAGATTTTTGCACAGTACTGTATAAGCAAGTAGGCTGAATATAAAGGTTACTACAAACAGGAAGAAGTTCTTACTGGCTTCTTCTGTGAAAGGGTTGTCAAGTTTAAGGAATTAAAAGCTGCATGATTAGTTAGTATTTTATTATTACAGAGAAAAAAAAAATTAGCTTGTGATTAGGACATTTGGCATTGCTGGAGAAGCGTGTGTTTGCTCCTGGCGTAGAATAACGTCTACGTTATTCCAGATGTCATCTCACTGATTTACACTCATGAAGAAGAAAACATCATCATTACACACCAGGCTTGCCAAGTATCTAACCTTAAATGTGGAGAGGCCATAGAGTCTTGTGGTGTGGATGGTTTCTGGAGAGACGTTGGTAATGTTGGTGATGAAATCTTCCAGGTATTTACACGCTTGCTCTAAGTGGGTGGTATTTATGATGATCTGAACCAACTGCAAAACAGTCACATAACTCCATCATGCCACACTTGTTTACATACATTCTCTCAAACTGTATCGGTATTTTATGTGCAGGGTGACTGCAGAAATATGACTCTGACCTCAGTGAGTCCTATATGAGGCTTTCTGATGAGGTTCTGTAAGCAGCCGCTCAGCGTCCTCGTCAGCAGCAGGTTGGTGGATTTACGAAGCATGTCATCAATCTCAGTAGAGCTGAAGGGAAAGATGAACCAGTTAAGAGACACTGCATGAACACAACTACATTTAGGAAGCCAACAGAGAATGTGGAGATCTTTTCATCTTTCTGTTTATGACTAAAACAAATCATCTTAGAGAGAAGGTTTCTGTTTCACACAGTGCATGATTCTGTCAGGTGCCACACTGAGAACTCATATGGATACTATGTCCAGCTCCCAGTCTATGATCATGGTTACAGTCTAAGTGTCTTTTTTTTTAACTGAAATAAGTAAGGGAAATTTTGGCATTAAAATGTTAAACTATTCTCTGATCATTTGCCACTGGTCCAGTACCAAAGGTTCCAGTTATTTGGTTTCTGATACCTACTCATGACTGGCATTTGGCAGATGCTCTTATCCAGAGATGCTTACAATTATCTCATTTATACAGCTGAGTTGAGGGTTAAGGGCCTTGCTCAAGGGCCCAGCAGAGGCAGCTTGGCAGTGCTGGGATTTGAACTCACGATCTTCCGATCAGAAGTCCGGCATCTTGACCACTGAGCTACCACTGGCACCAACAAGGCTGAATGGTACTCAGTACTAGGCTAACCAGCACTATTCATATTTCTCATTCTGTACATTTCTCATTCTGTACATCTCATTTCTCACTCTGTACAAATACAGAAAGAACAAACACGCTTAAATAGGTTGCCGGTGATATGGAATGCCAAATTCATTGAATGCTTCAGTGTGTTTAGTTCCAACAATAATTCTAATAATTCTCAAAAATTCTAATAATTTTGTGGCATGGACATATTGTTTGCAGTATGACCTGGTTAAGCAAATGGCCAATCAAAGAAATAAGTTAAGGTCAACAAAGAAGAAGTGTTTGGATTAACAAAGACATCGCCACGCACCTTAACAACACAGTCATTTTTACTGTTGGCAGCACTATATCTGTCACAGACATCTTTCATTTTGGTGGAAAATACAGTATTACTAGAACTCCAAATTTCCAGTGAATTCTGTTTGGGCCATCTCTTGTTCCATGTGCCATGAGAAAAAAAAGTAGACTTTAACCTTAACCTAGCTCTCACTGTCAACCAACTCAGCAGCAGCAACTAGGTGTGAGTATTAACAGGACGCTGCTAGAGTGTTGATTTTGCAGATAGTTTGCAGATAGTGTGTGTGTGTGTGTGTGTGTCAGTGTGTGGAGGTGTTGATTGGGAGGGAGGGGTTTAGGTAAGTAAACAGTCAATAGAGAGGTCCAGAGGCCACTCATTACCACTCCCTTAACATGACAAAGAAACAATTAGAGAGGAGTGTGAAATGTGCGGTAATTTGCATTGACTGCCCACAAGGGAAAGATCGATCCTAACTCCTCCACACACACTGTGCTTTAACCATCCACTTCTTCTCCTGTCAGGGAACCAGAGCAGTCACAGGCCTCAGTGATGGTACCAGTAGGGACATGACCACAAAGTTAGGGCTCAAACATAAACATTATTCCCATAGAGTGGTACCCTTGGGGAAAAATGTAAAAATGCAGCTCTATATTATGGATGTGGATGAAAATGCCATCTGTAGGCTGGAGCTACTTACTCTCTCTATTTGGGCCAGCAAAGCACAAAGCATACAAAACACCTCACTAAATGCCACAGAGTTTAAAGAGAACAAATATTGGCAGACTGAGAATGGAGCTTCCCTTAGACAGTATTAGTTAAGTCACTCTCTCCAGCCATATTTCAGATAAGAGCTCCACAGGCCAGCGCTGACAAGACATGACTGACAAAAGAGCTAAGCTGCTGCTCAAATCCTGCTCAGATGACGACCAGATGCTCAGTGATAAAACCTGTTTGCTAATCTATCACTTCTCGATCAATTTGTTTGTGCAATGGAAGCAATGATGGAGGCTAAAGCTCTAAATTAGCTCCGGGTTAAGCTTTCACTTTACTTAGAACAAATATCATTGGCTCAACGTTAAAGCAGCACAAGTTCTTAAACTGTTACTGTTCTGTAGCTAAGATAGTACGTGTCCAAAACCCTACGCCCTATTCACTATAAAGTGTACTAGTTTCAGAGTCTGTCATTTGCAGCCGTGTTAAAAAAAAACCAGAACAGCACACCGATAGGCAGTGTGGAAATGATATACCACAGGGGCCACAGAATACCCATAATTCACTGTGTTGCCGGGTTTGATTCACTTTTCCAGTAACAGCACATATATGAAGTGTTTTACTCCTCTTACACCACAGCAATTTGCCAATAATTACATTTTTATTAACGAAAAACCAACACATCATGCTTTTTATTAGTTTTTTAGTTACGTGGAACATCCTATTATCACTTCCTTCATAGTTCCTGTTATCACAAACATTATGGCATCTATAAACAGTTGTTCCTCTCTCTTGTTGTTAATAATACAAAAAACACAGCTTGTCATGTTACAGGGCAACCGCAAAGACGTCCCCTCGTGTTTACTTAAAGGTACAGCTTTACCTCTGACTGTTTACAAAGCTGTGAAACTGGAGACTCCTTCCACAAATGCTAAATAAAGGTCTCCTCACTGAAAACTTCACAATATCAATAATCATACACATTTTAAAAATCTGTTTATGAAGAATGTCTGCACAGGACATATAAGAAATGATAACGTATTCGAACGAGTGCATTGATACAAATCTTGCAGGCGGAACTATTCTCTGAGTCATGCTGTTGTATTAAATTAATCAATGCCATTGGACCAATCAGAATGGAGCATTCAACAGCGCTGTGCTACAAAGTTCAAATTATTGTGCGGATTACAAGCTAATGTTGTGTGTGTTGCATGAAATGAAGTGTACAAAATCGTTTACTTCAATCACTAATTCAGTTCTTCATACATTTCTATAACAGCCTTCTATGTAATGCTCCTGATTTTCCAATGTAGGGAACTCTGATTTCAATCACATCATCAGACAGTATTTATAAACCTATAATGAAAGATATTTGGAACTTGAGCCTTATACTCTGAATGCATATCACTCAGGATTTATCAGTGTGTGTGAGAGTTTTGCTCAGTATGACACAGGTGAGAGGCTAGGATCTCCAGGAATGATCATTGTGAACATGACGTGCTCTCACCTGCGATGTAGTGACTCGGAGAACTTTAAACTGGCATAGATGAACTCCTTGACCTGAATGTAGATCTGAGGCACTGATTGGGACATGGGCAGCTTCTTTGGAAATGGTTGCTATAAAATAAAGCACAAAAAAGAATGCAGTGATTGCATTAAAAATGTCACAAATACATAATCCTATCTGACGTACACAATTGTTTAAATTATATAATATAAATCTCGGTATGTCCGTCTGAGAAGGCTGAACAAACCTTTTCAATCTCGGCATCATGGAAGGGGAATCTACTGACCACAAGCTTGTACTCTGCTTCGTTTTCTACGGGGATGGGGCTGTAGTTGTCCAGCTCAAATATTTCTCTGCCAGAAAGAAAAAAGAAAAACACAAATGATAAAGAAAAGACTCTTTCCATGATGTAGCATTTATATGCACAGGACTAAAGTATAAATGCTGTATTACCTGAACACCAGCGCCCACTTCTTCAGCAGCGTTTCATTGTACTGATCTCTAATCTCAAACAACAGGTCGAAGAGTCTGTTCACTGAGAAGCCATAACTCTGGTCAAAACACAAGATGGAGAAAAACAGCCAATGTGTCAAAACCACAAATGTCAGAACTGTTGATATAAGGAAACGTGTGTACATATTCAATATCGCAGATTGACCAGTGCAAACTGTCAGGAAACCTCGCAGCGTGAGAACATAAGGTGTGAAATACCTGCAATGTGTCTGCAAATATAACGATCAGGTTCTTCAGCTCTAGGACCAGGTCAGGATCGTTGCAGTAAGACTGTGGACGAGGAACACGAATTAAATCCAAACTAAAATATAATATTAAAGATTCTGCACTTAAGATTGCACAGCAATGCTTCATATTTCCCTTGTGTTAGTCAAATGAGTTGTGAGTCAAATACATGATTCATATCTGAGTCAATATGATTATACATGAAAGTACAGGAAAAAGTTTAATTAAACAATAAAATAAAAATAACAGTGCTTTAAATGCATCATCACTGCTAATCAAAATCCTATTTAAACTCTCCAAAATTGATACCACAGCACTGTTTAAATCTCAAATGTGATTAGTCAGAAGGTGATGAGTAATTTTCTCTAACAGCAGCTCTGACAGTAGTGCCGGCTGTAATTTAATTCACAGGCTTATAATAAAGCGCTCGTTCTAACACGTCTTCGTTTCTATAGTAACAACTCGTTCACAGGGACCACATAACCTAAATGGTCTAAAAACCCCCCACAATATTTAACAAAGGAAAACATAAAATCTTTGATATGGTGAAGGTTTCTGTAAGGAGACATTTATTTTACATTTATGTAAGGAGTCTCCAGTGTCGGCGCTTTGTAACCTTCAGTACGTTTTTCACCGCAGTAGCACAAATAGTAGCACAAATTCTGCCCCAAATTCTAGCATTAACTGTAAGTTAACTGTAAGTTTTCTTTTGTACTGTTCCAATAATTTCATTCTATTATTAGATCAGCTTTGGTACTGAGTGAGGATGACGAGATTGTTGTGATATTTTTAATTTCAGTGAACACACTGGAATTTATTCATGTAGCTCATAGTTACACAGTTTCCTCTTATACTGTGATATAAAGTGTTTGCTTTACACTCATTCTGCTCTGTCCTCAGCATCGTCAAATCAGCACCTGATATATAAACACACTCATGAAGAACTATTAAACTGGATTAGACTCAATATCACACTCTCAATGGCTAACTGGTAGCCAGTCACTTATTGATCAAATACTCTGGTATATTAATGAGTCATTAAATCCCATTAGCATCAGAATAAGTGCACGGCCATCTCCCTCCCCGTCGGTGCGGGTGAAGAGAGGAGTGCAGCGTTTGACCCAGCCGGGGGATGTGACGAAGGGCTGGATTAGTGAATGCCTGCACACACAAAGCTTCTTTCTCTGGCTCATCCACCCATCACACACACGCCATGTGTCATAAGACTTCAGCACAGTGAGGTCTCAGCATCATGCTCTTTGGGAGGTGTGTGCGGTCGTTTTCCCACAAAACGTAACGTAACCTTCTTCCAAGGGTTTCAGAGTAATATTGTAATAAGTGTAAACAACAAAAGTTTTCATTCCTGCATCCGGTACTTTCCATCATCTACAGGATGTGCTCCCCTAACCCCTTTTTGAAAGTGTAGTCTGTTAAAAAAAATATAGTGGCAGAAACTGATAAAGCAATACTTTGTAAAATATCAGTTTTAACCCTATTAATGCAGTTAGCAGCCATAGATGTCTCCTCTATGATAAAACTCGTAACAGAAACAGCATGAGAATGTATATAAGGTTATTTCCCCTGCTTTTCATATCATGCATCACATGATCACATTATTGTATACAATTTATTTACAGAAAACTACAATCATAAAGTGATGTAGACCAGCTGTAGCCATTATAACGGCCAGTTTAATCCTGGGAATGCATCCG